ACATCCCTCTTATACTGTGGAGCCAAGGAACAAGATGAGCTTCTGCTGAGAACGTGAACCCTGAGAAGGCACACCAGAAAGCAGGGAGGAGAAATAAGAACAAAACTTAAGGGGATGGTTCTTACCCACTTCTCCCATGACACGCAGTCCTTCCTGGTAGTTCGGACCTCCCCTTCGCACAAAGATCCTCACCTCATGCTCCTTCAGAGGGCCTTGATAGTCTTTAATTGCTCTCACAATGCCCTAAGAAGGAAATATAGAAGGCAAAATTGCACTACTGCAGCTCGTGCAAGGCATTAAAGACGTTCCACCACCTCTGTCCCTAGCACACATTCCAATCTGTGCTCAAAAGAGTCTGAGAAGACAAAAGTGTACCCAGCACTTGGTCTCTCTGCAGGGGAAGGAAAAGGGATTGAACTGCAGAAAAAAACCCTTAAAGCCACAGAGTGCATGCTGGGCTCATATTCAATAGTCACTTACTTTAAAAGTGGCTGCCACATTGGTGAAGTTAGCAATGCTGCCTCCAATGATCAGGATTTTACCTGAGGAAAGAAGCACTAAGTAAAATAACCTGTTTTAAGAACTGAGTTACTTCTAGACCATGAAGCAGTTTAGAACATGAAGTAACAGCACTGTAGTTCAGCCTAACCAACAGTTCTGCTGAGAAGGTATTGAGCAAAGCCTAGATAAGAGTTTTACACCAAGCAAAAAGTTTTCTGGTAAGAATCTCTTGATCCACATTTATATTCTTTGTTGCATGGAAAAATACAAGTCCTGACTCTGAAGTAACAGCTGAAAGAAGCCCACTATCGCATCCAGAAGGAAACACCACATTAACAAGCTCTTCCAGGCAGATCTAAACATAAAAGCACACCAGAATCCTTCAGTTTTCCTCTAAATGCACCTGCACATCTGAATGAATTTGAGCCACACACCCTTCCCAACTAGTTCATTAGTTGATACAGTCCAAGCTCCAGCATCTTCCTTACCTTCGGGGTGTTTCTCTCGGGTCATGAGGGAGAGAATAGTCTTAGCATAGTCGTAAGTTTGTTGCTCACTTGGGGCTCCCGAGTATTCACCATAGTTTGCCAGTTCATTCACACCCCCCAGGTCACAAATGGTGTCACTGTAAGGAACAAGCCATTTAAGAGGTTACTTACCAGGACCTTTATAGTCACTTGAAAATTATAAAGCATTCCAAATGCCTAGGAAAGGGGTAGAAGAACAGTTTCTGGTACCTGTAAACCACAGAGGCGCCGCCACCAGCCACCATGGTCCAGATCCTGCCTTTGGGATTGAGAATAGTAAGTTTCAGGCTGGCTCCGCTCTTGGCATCCAGATCCGCAATGTAGGCTTCCTGCAGACGGAGCAGAACGCGGCTCTGAAACCTCCCTCCGTCTTTGGCCAACTACCACATCCTCCTTCTAGAGCAAGGGGATGCTGTGCCCAAGTGAGCTGTAGCACTCCCACATATCCCCTTGATGGGGACTGGGGTTACAAACGTGATTTTAATAAGGGAAGGAGACCCAGCTCCTCTCTCAGGCTCCAGAGCTGATGGTGTTACATGTTCTCCAAGACGAAACACTCGGAATGGATGAAGACAACTCGAAGGGGAAATTGGCTTGAGCATACACTCATATTCTGATTCTTGTTGGGCAAGATCAGACCCTCCAAAGACCCTGCTCTCTTCACAAGGCAGGTTGCACTAAGCTGCACC